GGGGTCAATGTGTAAATTAAGGAAGTTAAAGCATAATGGGTGGAATTGATAAGAATTATATTATTGAGGGTATTTTAGACTAAAAACATGGGGATGAGCTTAATTGAGAGACTGTTTTTTTTGTGGAACAAAATGCATTTAAGTCCCATGTGATGGGCCTTTTTGCCATTTGTCCTTAAAAAAAAGTAGTAAATGTGCGTGGAATTTGAGAAAATCATAATAATATGACTAGAAAGCCACTTTCTTTAATTATTTCACCTAATTTTATTAAGAGCATTAAGGATAAATATGAGAAAAAAATAATAAATGTTTCATTGCAAATCCAGAGTGACAACTATTTTCAAATATTTTTTTTAGAAAGACAAATAAAAGGAGAATGTATTTAATTGACATCTTTTATTGTAGTTTTATACATTTTTTCCCTCTTTCAATAATTTAACCATATATTTAATTTTATTTGTTTTATCGAGTTAAAATAATATTAAATCATTTTTCCAGAGCTTAGACCCCAAAAATCCCAGGACCACCTTGCAAAAACCAATACATATATATAATCACTAATTTTTGTTAATGCTTTATAGTTTTATTTCTAAATGTTGGATTATTATTCAAAATATTTAGTTATATTTAGATATTATTTTTTTAATTCTTAAAAGTCTTCCGATTTAATATTTTCATTTTTTTAGGAAATAATGTGGGATTCGATTCACAATTTAACAAATAAGGACCATGAAATTTTCATTATATATCCAAAATAGCAGTCGTACTCTGACAGATATCATGCATTCAATAGCGGAATACATTTTCCTTCGTCCAAAAAAACGAGAAAATAACTTTGTATATTAGAAACTTTATGAATATACATTTATTTATTATATTATTATCAATAATAATAATAATAATAAAATAAAATAAAATAACATTAATTTCATCGTATTTTTTCTAAGAAAACCTATTACTGAAAAAAAAAAGAACAAAAAAAAAAAGAGAAAGACAATTACCACGTGCTACAACCTTGATTTGATTTGAAATTTGAAGGGATTGGTTTTTTGTGTCCACTTATTTTGTAAGAAGTTGTTTTCTTGCTAGTGATTATTTTATTTTATTTTAGCAGCCCACGTGCCAATATTTGAACGCCTTTCAATTATATTTGAAGGATCGTTTCCAGGTAAATATGAAAAACATGTTCATTTATATTTGGGCAAATTTTACGTAGGCCACCAGGCTTGTCCTGGTCTGAATGTTTTTTTTCGGTGGTAGGTCGTAGTTGCTCCCGTTAGCAAACTCGCATTAGTTAACTTTAATTAATCAATTTTCTTTCATTTTTCATTTTTTTTTTCTTTTATCTTTTTACCGGTGGTAGGTTGTCGGAGCTCCGATTAGCCAACTCAATATTAGTTAACTTCAACAATAGCTAGCTTTAACATTGGTAGACATTTTTTTTCGACGGCCGATCATCAGTTATGCGGTTAATTAGCTCACTCATCATTAATTAACTTCAATATTAGTTAACATTCAACCTTTTTTTCTCTCCCATGGCGAATCGTCGGAGCTACGATTAGCTTATTTTAACATTAAAACTGTCGAGTGCCAAATAATGCTTAGTCAGCTAATCGAAGCCCTAAATAGCCACCGCCGAAAAAGAAGGATTAAAAGAAAAAAAAAATTGTTGGATGTTAGCTAATGCAAAGTGGACTAATGAATAGTCATGGTAATCAGAGTTTCGACATCCCGTTGCCGAAAAAAAAATCAGTTAAAAGAAAAAAAGTTGGACGTCAGCTAATATGTAGTCGCTAATACAAGTCAACTAATTGCAGCTTCGACGACCCGCCGCTGGAAAAAAATAAATAAAAAACAAAGATAAAAGAAAGAAAATATAATATGTCAGCTAATGTTAAAGTTAACTAATGCTGAGTCAGCTAATCGGTGCTCCGACGAACAACCGCTGGAAAAAAAAAAAAAAAAAGATATGTCAACTAATGTCAAAAGTAACTAATGTTGAATTTAACTAACGTTGAGTCAGCTAACCAGAGCTACGACGATCCACCACTAGAAAAAGATTAAAAGGAAAAAAAACAGATAAAAGAAAAAAAATGGAAGGTCAAATTTCAACTAATGTTAAAGTTAACTAATGTTGAGTTAGCTAACCGGAGCTCCAATGACCCGCCGTCTGAAAAAAAAAAAAAAAAAGAAAAAAAAATGGAATATCAACTAATATTGAAGCTAATTAATGCTTAATCAGCTAACCAGAGCTCCGACACCCGCAGCCGAATTTTTTTTTTTAAGAAAACGAAAAAGATGAATGTCAACTAATTGAAGTTAACTAATTTTGAGTTAGCTAACCGGAGATCCGGCAACCCATCATCAGAAAAAAAATAATAAAAAAAAAAAAATGAATGTCAACTAATTGAAATTAACCGATGTTGAGTCAACTAACTGGGGTTCCGACCACCCAGTCCATCGTTGAAAAAGAAAAATTATTATGTGATATTTGTTATCAAATTTTCAATTTCTGGTCCCCTTTGATGTTTGATTTCCTTAACGTCAACTAAATCCCTTAAAAATGAGTAAATTACCTTTTCTTATTGTACATAACTTCCTTCTTCTTTTTAATGTTTATATATTTTAAATCCTTTTAACTTTTATGTATTTAAAAAAAATTCAAAAACATAATTATTGTTAACTTTTTCAAAAAAAAAATATTTTATATTTTTTCGAAAAAAATATTTTCTTTTGTTTTTTTCGAAAAAAGAGCACTTGTTTTATATATATATATTTTTTTAAAATATTAATAAAAAAATTATATGTTTTTTATTTTTTCTAAAAACAAGTTTTTCTTTTTGAAAAAAAATAGTTTTATATTTCTTATTAAAATTTGCAAAAACATAATTTTTAAATAATTGTTTTAATTAATTAATTTATTTCTATTTTATGATATTCTAATAAATTTTAATTATATGTGACATTGTGATAGAAATACAAAAACTAGAAGGGGCACTTTTGTCATTAATGTAACTTATCATAGCATGATAATTTAATGGGTTTTTTTCAATAACTACCCCTATGTAATCTCTAATTGTTGAAAAATCCCCGTATTAAAAAAAATTAGCAAGGACCCCACTATGAAAGTTAGTCAAATCCAGTAAGACCCCTAACGGCTTATTGTGTTCTGTACGATTGAATTTTGCGGCTGGGGTGCGTGTTCTGACCTGAAAAAACCTAAATACCCTGTAAATAACCAAATCAAAAATTAAACATTAGTCCCAAATTTTAATCACCCAAAAATAAAATTTTCAGAATTTCCAATTCAGTCCTTGCTAATTTCAAAAACGCCCTCTCTCCAAATCATCTCATCCCGATCAAACTCTCCAGCATTTTCATGCCCAACACACACAAAATGCTTCCCGACGGCGCCCCTTTGCCAGACATAGACTAGCAAATATTTTTCTTCCGGACGCTTTTTCGACATAATTTTTTTCAGATGGACCACTCCCTTCATGTTTCTCCACCAAAAAAACCAAAAAAATAAAACCAACTGACATTGTGAGCTTCAGGCTCTTTCCTGTATCAAACCAAAAAAAAAGTCGAATATTTTACAAGATCTGAGCTAAAAGCTTTTCCTTGGAACACAAAAAAACCCAAAAATTCCAGAAAAATGCTCAGAATATACATCACTGTACATGTAATTTCAGAAAACTTGTCAGAAAACTCCAATTTTTCTTGCAACAAAATAATCCCAAAGGTTCACTCCTTTCTTCTCATGATATTATGCTCCAAATGTGTTGACCTCGATGAAGATGGTGGCGCACATAAGATGATTGATATGGAAGAGAAAGTTGGGGTGGGGTACACTTAGCGGCGGATCTGGCTATGGTCTAGGGTGTGCAGTTGCACACCCTTGATTTTATACAAAATGTACTGTTATACATATGTTCACACAAAAGGCTATTGGTTGAGGTGGTAAAGATATGGGTCTCGAGTTCAAAATACATTCTCTAAAAAACTGATTTATTTTTCAAATCTTCACATTTTTCACCTTTTTGCTCTTTAAATATTTCTACAGTTCACCTAAAACTTGTAAATTGTAAACTTTTGGTCCACTATTTTTATAAATTTCACCTTTTTTCTCTTTAAATATTTCCACAATTCACCTAGAATTTGTAAATTGTAAATTTTTGGTCCACTATTTTTATAAAGTGATATTTAAATTTTGTATTCTACAATTTCGAACCCCCGTGTGGCAAAAATCCTGGATTCGCCAGTGGGTACACTACTGAAAGGGGAAGATTTCGAACGGTAACTCTGGAATTTGATTGCTTCGACGAGGGCACTGTTTTGTTTTCCGGCAATTGAGTCGGCGTTCTCCCGATCAAGAAACTGCGGGATACATTTAGGGGCAGTGAAAAAGATGGGTTGGAGAAGGAAGGTGCATTTGGGGGTATTTTTTATGTACTCCCTCCGTTCCAAATAATTGTCGTTTTAGGTTGTTACGCATATATTAAGACAATAAATAAATATATTTGGATTTTAGGAAAATACATATAACATGACTAAAATACCGATGTAATTAATTATATCTCAACTAATTAAGAGTAATAACTAATAAGGGCATAGTTGAGAAAATAATAATTAATGCATCATTAGAATTTTAAAGTGACAGATAATATGGAACAAGAAAAACTCCCCAAAGCGACAATTAATTTGAAACGGAGGGAGTATTAGGGTAGTACAATCATTTTAGTTAAGTCAACAGCCAAATGGAAAATACAGGGTGGTGTGCTATATCAAACGCTTTTTAAAATAGGGGGTCATTGTTAAATTTTATTGGAATAACACAACGGGGTCTGTGCTATTAGCTCTAATTTTATTGGACATCCCAGTACCCAATTCCCAATTAGCCATGATAAAACATTACAAAATTATGTTGGCAGCTCTGGAAAATAATACGACTAACCAAATTTAATACTGTTGAGATGGTGTTAATCGACCGCATGTAATGTTTATTTGTTAAATTTGTATTATTTATCGTCTAACAGAACATAATATTCAAAAAATTATTCTTCTTTGAAATTTTTCATAAACTAAAGCTTTTTAATTACACAACTGGATAAGAAATCTATTTATCGGGGTTACTCAGTTTCACACTGTCTAATTAGTTATTCAACCCTGTAACTTGTACGGAAGAATACATACATGCATTTCAATTCAACAATATAAACTATCAGAAAAATCTAATTAATTAATTAATCAAACAAAAAACAGATTTCAGTAATTTTCCATTGCAAAAGAAAAAAACTGATTGCATTTATCACAATACCATCAACATAGCTTCAAGTGAGAATATTACTATTCTATGCTATACAAATTTCTTTAAGCACATTATTATGACTGACTAGCTTCAAGTGATTACTGTTCGATACTAATTACAAGAAACGAGAACCACAGTAATTAGAGTAACTATAAAAGAAAATATATTTGAAGCCTAGCCTCGCCTCGCCTCGTCACACGTTGGATCTTCCATAGCACAAAGATATGACATAACGATTATTGTTCCTACATTCCTGCAAGTAAACTCAAACAAATATATACATATACATATATGTATATGCAAGCAATGGAAAAGAAAATTCGAAAATAAAAATGAACCTCGATACGTTGATATGGAAAAGTAAGTGACCGAAGTATCCCCTGTGTATTAGTATTAGAAGGTTTCTGTGTGGGAGCACTAAAAATAATGGCAGTTTGATCGTTTGTCGCTGCAATTGAAGTGATAGAGTAGTAAGCTTCCCATCTCTTATGAACACCTTCACTCGGGTAAAGAAAGTCTAGCTCCACAACCTGATCGAAGCCAATACAAATTAAAGAAACCAATTAATTAATCATTTTTAATTTTTTTAGGCCGGCACACGTAAAAGTTCAAATAGTCGTCATCACAAAATAGCAACATACTTGATCCGAAAATTCAGCTCCTTTCGACATAATAATCGCCCATGTGTTTTCTTGAGTGGCCATGGAAGTAATACTGAAGCCCGCGTCCCATTGCCTTTGAATCCACGTGTACGGAAAATACTCCATAAGTCTATATTCTTGTTCAAGATACGGAGTCCCTATAAAATTTTTTTTTCGATGTAAAAAAAAAGTCAATATGGGAATCGAGTATAGCACTCATCACGTACCGAATTACAAAACTAACCCTTAGACATAACTACGAATGAGCCCCCATCGTCCGCCCCTGCCAGTGCAGTGATGTAATAGTTATCATCCCACTGTTTCATAATCCAGTGCTGTAATTAACAGTCATTAGCATGAGAAGTAATTGACTGTAAATAGGCCATAAATCAGAATAAATAAAAATAAAAATAAAAATAAAAAAATGATCGAGAACCATGTCAAGGAAGGTAGACGAAATTAAATAAACTTGATCAGTGAAGCCTGTCTGTTTATCCAAAATGAAGGTCCACAGGTTCAAACAAGATGCTACATTGCTGATAAATAGGCCATCCTTCTTTCCTTGCTCAATATGCTGATCAACATTCACAGTTTCAACATCGTAGAAATACCTACGAGAATAAATTAAATTAAGTTAAATTAAATACAAATAAAAATAAATAAATTATTTATTCACCTTTGCTCCATTGGTGGTCTATCATCGAACAAAATAATCCACTGTGCTTCAGGTACGCCCGACCGAACCTTCTTCGTTCGTTGCTCATCTTCATTATCGTCCATCTCGATCGCTCCTCTCTTGTCTCCCACTCTAGGTACAGTCGTCGAGGCACCCAACTACGATGATTCAAAAGAACAACACCAAACAACTTCAAGGCCAACATTAAATTTTAACACGCTCACGTACAGGAGATTTTGAAGAATATGTATATATACCGTCTGAGCAGTTTCGATATTGATCGGTCTGACGATATCTGGACTCGAACTAATTAATACATTCAAGAGGGATATATATTTTGTGTATTCAGGCTCCTCATCAAACTTCAAGCTAAAAACATTCTGGGCGAACTGTTTAAAAGGTTTAGGACATGTTCTACAAAGAGTATCCAGAGAAATTTCCCTCTTTATTTTGCACTCGTTGAAGCCTTTATGTTCAACCTAAATAAAGAGCATCAAACCATATTTTTTTTAATATTATGTTTTCCAAAAATAAAAACACGCATTTCGATTATGCTACTAACCGGGTCCGGGGCGTTGTGGTCTTGCCATGGAAGCCGACCTTGGAGAAGTAGAATCAGCATATAAACAAAGGACTCTAAATCATCCCTACGGCTAGGAGTTCTTCCAAGTTGAACATGTACGCTGGCATAGCGCATAGTTCCTCTGCAATACCGATATTATATATATATATATATATATTTATTTCTCGTGATGCAAAAAAAGTCAACAGGTACAAAATGTGGAATCATAAACTAACCTGTATCTAAATGGTTGTTGATCATAAACAACGTGACTGTTAGTACGAATATCAAGCCATCTTGCAGCTGCATAAAAACAAGAATAAGGTTATCATATTACAGAGTGAGCGAACTTTTCAACATAAATTGGCTACAGCATGCAACGAATGTTACCCAATCCAAAATCGACCAGAAATAGTTTATTTGCTTGAGGTGTGTTTGTTTGACCAAGGCAAAAATTATCCGGCTTTATATCCCCATGCACATATCTGCAGAGGTTGCACAAAAGTATTTAACACACTAAAGCTAATTATTACTAAAAAGGTACACGAAAGAATACCCTCTGCTGTGAAACTCTTTCAAAATGTAGATCCCTTCAATGGCAATACAGATCACCATATGTTTGTCCATTCTGGCGGAAAAAAAAAAAAGTTGTTTGGATATTATTTTTCTTGTACAGCAACACGGAAGTACAATTTTATGTTATTTTTCTTAAAAAATGAGACTAACAAGCCGGATTGGCTCTTCCAGAGATCCCATAAACTAGGGCCAAGCATATCCATAACCTGAAAGATGTAAAGTTAGTCACGCGAAAAAGAGGAAGAAATCGGTACGGAAAAAATATGCTTAACTACAGAGATCAGTACCGTAATACAGTATTCACTTTGCGTTCCTTTGAAATATACACGCGGTATCCCATAACATCCCTCAAGTACTCTAGAAAGATTAAAAAAAAAAAAAGCAAACAGATTTTGATAGAAAAAGAAGCGCTCGGAAGATTCACAAAATAGTGAAAAGAAACACACTCACTCGTAGACATTCCATTCATCAGATACTCCATTTCTAACGGTTGTGCTGCTTCGACGTTCAAACTTCAAGGCAAACTACAAGAAATAAGGAGAATCGTTATTATATAACTTCAGAAAAACAGAAATCGGTAGGTGAAATATATACCTCAGCAGCATCTGGACCTGTTTTTATGTTCTCATCTGTTGCGTCGTCTCTACGACCGGCGTACACTTTGCCAAACCCTCCTTCCCCCAGTTTTCTTCCAACTCGATAAACGGGGGAATCGTTGATCTTAACCTGTTGCCGATAAATCTTAATTTGATGGTCAAGTTTTAAAGAACCTTGAAAAAATAAATAATAATTAATGCATATGTCCGATCAGAACTGCGATCCAGGGAACCCTATCGTTTTTCATCAATAGCGCCCGTAAAAAAAATTCTACTAACCCCCTCGAAACCACCACATTGTAATTAAATCCACTATTGATTAGATTGTTCAGGAAATCACAGTTAGCTACTAGCTATAAGATCCAAACACAAACGAGAGCCGAATTCAATGAAAATCGAAACAAATATAAAGAAACACACCCAAAAAACACCAAATTAAACGAAAGAGTAAATCAGAATAAAACCAGGAAACATACATAAAAATGGCAATATACAATGAAACTCAAGAAAATTCGAAGAAAGTGTATATAATTAACTAACCATAACGGGAATCGGTGGAGCCATCTCCTACGCTAAACTATTTTCAGCAGCCAAAATCAGCAGCAGATTTTCCTTCATGCAGTCGAACAGAATATCCTTCTCCCGTTAATGTTCGGTCCGTCACCTTGCAATCAATTCGTAACGTTTGCGGCCTTTTGTTTCTCGCACAGACAGCCGCGCACGCCGTCAATCAACTCCGCCGTGAACCTGAATTTTACTCCGATTGAGGCGGTGAAATTCAAAATGCAGTGAGAGGAAGAAAAGGGGGGAGGAGAGAGAGAGTCAATCGACGATAGCGAGCAGAGAATCTTCAGCAAATATCAACGGCTACAAATTTCCGACGACCTAATATTGAGGTTTCGAAATTTTGGGGGCAATCAAAATGCAGTGACTCCGGAAAGGTGTGTGTGTGTGAGAGAGAGAGAGAGGAGAGAGAGAGAGAGATGAGAGCAGAGCTGCTGGGTTCGTTATGAATATAAAATAATTTCACAACTGCGAGTTTTTATATTGGGATTATTTGAGTTTGAGCGGGAAAATGGTGACGTGTCAGAAAACAATTGGCAAAAGATCATAGAAGGGGGTTTTTGCCTCTTTTCTGCTGTTGAAACTGAACAACTGAGTAACGGTGGAAGTTGTTATTTTTCAAATATTTATTGTTTTGAAAAAAGTTGGAAAACAGTTAAATGTATTATTGAAATTTTAATCTGAATTTTTTTTATACCATAGTTTCTCTAAATTAATATTTTGACACTAATGAATTATTACTATTATTTCTAATCTAGGTGTATCAGTTTCATCTTAGCTAGATGATGACCGTGGGTCGATTTTTTAACCGAGTTATTTAGAGGGGAAAAAACTAACTATGGTTATTTCAAAAAGCCGAAAATCAAAATGAGTTCTTTTATTTCGACTATCTAATTTTCAAACTCGAATTGGCGAATCCAATAATATTAGCTAAAACACTAAATATATAATAATATTAGTATTAAATATAATTTCTAGAAAAAAATTAAAGTTTTTTTGTAATTATTAGAAATTAAAATTGGGTCAGAAATCAGAACTTCGTAATATAAATCTAGTTTTAGAACCATATATAGGGGATACACAACATAAAAAAATAGAAATTAAAGTGTGTGTATATATGTAATTAAGGATCCTCTTTTATATTATTAGTAATTAACGCATGCGATGCATGGGACTGAAGTAACACTTTTCACATTATGAACTCCTACCAACGAATCTAAAGTCGGATTTGATAGTCGTTTGATAATAGTTATATTTGGATATATCTAATTTAGGTGGTGTTTGCAAATGATTATTCAAAAGTAGTTAGTGATTGTGAGTTAAGTCAATTTTAAGTGTTTATTTCTAAAAGTTGGGGGTGTTTGCAATTATTCCAGAAAATGAACTTAAATAGAAAAAGCAGGGTTAATGGTACTTTTAAAAAAATAGCTTAAAACAGATTATTTTAAGAGAAGCAAAAGCAAAAGTTGATTTTGCAAACACCTGAAAACAGATTATGAGCAAAAAAAACTCAGAATCACTTTCAAAAAGCGTTTACAAACACCACCTTAACCTCATTTTATCTGCTTGTTTGAAAGATTTTTGAGTAATATAAGAAAAATCTATTATTAAATAGGGAATACATATTAGGGGCAAAACATTGGTATGACAAGATAAAGACAAATAAAGAATTAGAAGAAAAAAAAGAGAGGATTTTGTAGTCAGAAAATTCAAACTATAACAAAAAATCATCATAAAATGTATATTTAGTTACTCATAGCATAGATTATAAAGTAAAATTCTGAAATTAATAAATAAATAATTCATCACTCAAATACAATGAAAGAATTAGATTAAAAATGCAAAATCATAGAAAATCAAGAGTGGTGTTATTTTCACCTCTAAAGTATCTTAATTCACCACCAAAAATTATAAATTGTCATTAATACCCCTTAAATTTATAATCCACCACTCTTCCTTATATATTAACTTAATCCTCATATCTTCTAAGTTATTTCTATTTTATTTTATTTTATTTTTAATTTTTTTTTAATTTTTATATTTTTTACAATGAAATATTTATTACAAAATATTTAAACTTCCATATCAAATGATCTACAGATTATGTAATTTTTTTTAGGAAACAAAATTATATTAAACAAAATTGGCCAATTCTGGGGGAAGTTCAGGATCTTCCATACAAGCAATCTTAATTTATTTCTCAAAAAACGTGAATGTCTGCCCTTTTTTACCTTCAAAAATGTTTTTCTCTGACGAAAGTATTATTAACTTAGGGTAGAGAGGGTGAGATTTTCAATAGAAATTGTGGGGTCTTTTTTATAAATATTTTAATTAATTTAGTGGTAGATGGTTTATAAATTGTTAGAGCAACTCCAATGCTAAATATCAAAATTGGATTATCAAATGCTCGTTTGATATTTATGATAATATTTTAAAATACATTTAAAACTCATATACTCCAACCATAGTAATCAGATTTTATCATCAATTGGAAGTTTTTTGATAATTTTATATGTAATTGCCACATGTCAATTTGTGATTGGTTGGTTAGGTGGTTATTTTTTGATAACTCAATCTGCAGGAAGTATTTTTAGATTCAAAGAGGTGAAATATCAAAATACAAACCCATTTTAATAACCCCTTTGGATAATACAATTTTTAAATTTTAGGAGACAAATGATAGTTAAAAGATTTGATAACTTATTTAATAACTCCATTGGAGTTGCTCTTAAAAAATATAGGTGAAAGATGAAGAGAAGGGTAAATGGGAAATATATTTAATTTGGAGGTGAAATAAGATATTTTAAGCGTGAAAATAGCACGTCTCAAAATCAACGGTGGAATTGATTCATTAAATCATTTAATTATTACATAGTTCACAAGCTTTTGTTTTTTTTTTTCCCTTCTATTAAGTACACAAAAGTTCAAAATTTAGTTACAAATCCGTAATCAACTGACACAGGCTGCATATTCTCAGCTCCTCGAACAAAATCGACGACAAGTATCGCACTCCAAAGCTCGGATGAATTGTCTGAGAACAGATTATGATTAAGTTTAGTTAATCACATTTAATACAAGATTAACTTAATTATGCCATAATTAACTTGTCTAATTCTATGAGTTTGCCCTTGTTTTCAGGCCTTCTGGCAAGCCTAAGTGCAGCAACTGTATTAGCGCACCCGACGAAATCCCAACCTGCATATATAATATATATATTATATCAATCGAATAATTATACCGATATTTTTTTTAATTTGTTTTAAACATGTTTGCCTAATAAATAGTGATTATTTAATATTATAAATCGTTTGATTGAGAAGATAAGATTAGCCAAAATAAAATTAAATAATCTCTAATGAAACTCAATTATTTTATTGGAGCTTGCAACGTCCAACACAAAAAAAACTCATTAGAAGGCAAGAATTAAGTCCAACTATTTGATTAATCATGACTTATCTTGGCAACTAATTTATTGGGATACCTAACATTAAATTAAGTCCAACTATTTATTTAATCATGGCTAATACTGGCAACCAAACGGGACCTAAGCTCTATATTACCATTAGGCCTTCTTTTAGTGCCGATTGTCTGGCCATAGCGACAGCATCTTCACTCGAAACCTGCGTAGAAAATTTCTCGTTAAACTTTCGATATCTTTTTCTTTTAATGTGTTTTATTAGGACAGACGTACGATGAATAATTACTAATTACAATAAGAACTTCTTCCATTACATCCATATCGAGGATATCAGGCTTGAATCCAACTCCGTTGCCAGTAATGTGATGAGGGCCTATATTCAATTAAAAACAAATTATTTTTTTCATTTTTTTGTTCGTTCGATTAAATATCGATAATCATGTACCGACGTAAGATACCTGGTTTACCGCCATTCGGAATATTGCTTTCTTCTGGTTCAAGCCCGTAAATCTACATAAGAAATGCCACAACAATATTAAGGTGATTCGAACTAATTAAAAAGAATATTATTACATACATAAAAGAAAATTAAAAAATACTAACTTCACTTAAAGATTTTTCGATTGAAGGTATTGTCCAACTCCGGAGACAGTGCCATCGTTTCCGATCCCCATAATAAAAATGTCGACTTTTCCGTTAGTGTCTTCCTATATTTCAGGACCCGCTGTCTCAAAATGTACCTATCGTTCAGTTTTCAGTCTATTAATTAATATATCCCGATTAATCTTACAATAAACTAAGGCCTCGTTTGGTTGTATGCGTATAGTTCTTCATGTTAGAAATGTATTGCACATACATACGAATTCCCAAGAACCAACATGCTTGAATTAACGAGAATTAAACATAAATATAAACAAGGAAGCGTACCTTACATCATGGAATCGAATCTTCGAATCTCCACTGGATTTGGGATAAGTCATTCAAAGAATCCGGTACCTTACATCATGGAATCGAATCTTCGAATCTCCACTGGATTTGGGATAAGTCATTCAAAGAATCCGCAGTTCCTTAATTATCTCTCTAACGATGGATTTTAGAAGAGACGGAATGGTTGCGTTTCTTTGGGGACCACGACCCTTTATATAACTGTAGAATCCAGTTATATTACAACTGTGATTCAGCCCCATCAATAAATTACAATTAAGTCATAATTGTCTCTACACATTAGGCCCATAATTATAGTTTAATACCCATAAATCCAACCCAATAATCTTTATTAGATTACAATCAATTTGGACTTTCTTTTAGGCCGTATACATTTAAGTCACATATGTGAGCCCACATAATTATTGAAATAATTCCAACACGTCATACAAGCCAAGATAAGAACTTGATAAGATCAAGATTTTCCAGACATAGAACAAAACCTTGATTATTTAATCAATCATTGCATATCTACACAACCAAACAAGGCATATCTACAGGACAAAACAAGGAATTCTTTAAAAGAACACAGATGAAATCGAACTCCAACTGTTTTTGTCAATTCAAGCGTCAGACATTTAGAAGTGAATAATATATACAGTGAAAGTAATTAAGAAACGTTCTTGAGGGGCAAAAATAATAATAACTATAAATAAAAGGAATGGGAAAGTATAGTTTACACTCTTGAATTATGGTGTTTGTTACAAACACCCCCTTGAACTACAAAACGTATCAAAATGAGCCCTACATTTCAGTAAACCATTACAAAATTAACACCATTAGTATTTTAGTGCATTTACCCTTTTGTCCTTCAAAATATGTTTGTACATTGGGGTTGTATCTTTGAATACAACTATAGTAAACACACCTTTCACCTTATCTTTTATTTGATTTGCAATTCAATTTCTTCAAAATTAAATCTTGAACAAAATGACCCGCTGCCACCGCAATCATCTCACCAACATCATCCCTTTACTAAAACTTGGGTTTTTGACGGAATATTCTTAGATTACTACTGTCTGATCGAATTAAAGGAGATACTAAATCCTTGTAGGAATTTTGAACAGTGGGACATTTTGATTGAGTTTTTCTTCGAAAAAATTGGCATCCAAATGGTAAGACTGAAGAGATGATGTGTGATTCCTAT